ACCAATTAGAGCCAATCAGATTTACAGCAACCACCAGTGATTTCAAAATGGATGTAATAAATTTTTTTTTTAATCTAGTCAAGCGCGCGACATTCAAATATAACGTAAGCCCTGACACGTAATTTGTAACGTACCTTAATATAAATTCAAATGTAGAACTGTTGAATGCTCATTTACAACTGAAGATGACGTGAGATTGTCGAAACATGTCTTGTAAATTTAAACTCAAAGTTGTTTCTTTTTTTAGAGTTATTTACACTGCTGTCTCTACGTCCTTTTGGTAAAATAAATAAATAACCCTTTGCCCGTGTTCCACATTTGTTCTAAAGTGTTATCTTTCGATGCTTTCCTTTTTTTCTCCTAGAGTTGTTTATCATGAAGGGAGCAAAGGGGAAACTGCTGAATTTTACACTATAACATGTACATGTTAAAATTACCATTAGAATTGAGTCATATTCTTTTGCCTTCTTATTGCACTCAGGTAAACAAGGTTCTGAGGCACTCACAGGATTTTTACATGTAATCAGTCATTGTTGATAATTTTAAAGTGCCACTACGACGAAAATTTTTGTCTCTGGTTTTGACATTTTTTAGCACCAATCAAGTTACTATGGCTAGAATTGTACTATGCGATGATTTTTAGGTCGATGGAAGCGAAATACGCCTTGATATAGCTGGCCAAAATTCACGAAAAACCCATCCGCCATTACTCAGCCCGCAACTGAGCGGTTTTACGCATGAGTTGGCCAGTTACATCATATGCGCACTTTCGGATCGTTCTTCATGTGTTGTGAGAGATTCCACATTGGAAATTCTAGGCGTTTCATAAGATGTATTCTTCCTCGAATTCTTCTTCCAGTTCATCTGAAAGTGAAGGCGAAGAATATGTTAACGAAGTATCTTTTGAATGTGGCAGTGTTGTTCCGTATGACGAGGATCTAGAGCCATTAGCCACTGAAGAAGAGGCTGCAGAACAAGAAGCAAGAATGGCTCCAGATGCCGAAGTAGAGCGCGAATACTGAGCGAGATTAACTCGTCAAGTGGATGTTTCTGCATGGTGCGATAAGAAATTTACCTATGACAACGTTTATTTGTTCATCCTGCCACAAGCCTTAACAAAAACTGCCTTTATTTTTTGTATACAGCCCATTCTACCATTCTAGTTCGATCATGTCTTTTGTTACAATTGCGGCCATGTAGCTTTTTGGTTGCTACGGAAAGTTATTGTTCGTTCTAATTGTTTTATTTGTCTTCGTATACTTTTACTAACACTCAGCTTAACTCGTACGTTTCTTATTTAAAGGTGCTTCTGTTCTAACTGTTCTCCCGAGTTCGCAAGGAAAGCAGAAGAATGCCAATGCTGTCAGGAAATCGATCGTTGTGGGGAGGTTATGCAAGAGTTTGGCGATCGAAAGAAGTGCATCACACTTCATCCAGGGTTTCAAGATGTTTGCCTGGACAGGCACGTCTTACAAGTTGCTGCGTTGAATCTGAAGACTGAATCTGAGAAATCTTATAGAACAATATACACTCATGGTCGAAGAACGGAAGCAGAGTAAGTAAAAAAAAAATAATAATAGCAGCTCAATTTTGGGATTTTCACAGTGACAACGGTAAATTAGCTGGAAATAGACTAAAAGCTATGCTAAAGTAACACTATTGATTAAGAAAGTTCGTTTTCATTTCCTTGCATTATTTTTCCTTTGCATGATTCACATCCCTAACCCATTTATGATGTTTTTTTTGGGGGAGGGGCGTAGAGGGGATGATGTTGACCAGCCAGTACAGATACGAACACAACGAACTTTAATCATGATGTCAGCCATGGCTTAATACACACACACACACACACACACACCTACAGACTCAAAATGCTTCTTCCCATTATATGTACAATTTATTATATGTTGTTCTGTTAGGTTCCTGAGGTCAGTGGCTTACCGGCAGTTTACCAGGCTACTCTGGGATTATATTGGTAGCTCAAGGCGTTATCCACTACCCTGTTGTGCATATAGCAAGATACGAAAGCATTTTCCAGATGAGAATGGACAATACCGCGGCTTTGAAGATGATGAAAATTAATGTTTCTGGACTGGCAGTTTTTTGAAAGACCAAAACTATGTGAATTCCAGCTTTGTTCATTTTAACACAGAAAACACCAACTCTAAGGGCCATCAAAGGTAGAGTGAAATAAAAAATAATAGCCCACTTATGTACATTACTTTAATTGTTTTCATCGAACACACTATTATTATCCTGATGTTAATTTCTAACCTAACCTCACCCTGGCAGTCCGATGAAAGACTGGAGCAAGGCCAAACCAGTTTTCAAATTATGCAACATTGAAATTTCCGAGGGGGAGAAGGGTTACGGGAAGTATAAGGGTCGACTGAAAGTTCTAGTGAGGGGGGAGGGGGAATTTAAAATGAAACACCTTCCATGGGGGAAGTATGGCTATTTTCTGCAACCACACACTGAAAATTTAATACCAATCTATTAGCATTAATTATTGTCTTCTGATTGACACTGGTCCCTCTTGTGACCCCGTTTTGGTTGCCCACACTTTGAACAGTGAGGAGGTCTTCTAACACTGGCCGTCCTCCTCTCATCTGTCTCTTGAAGCTCCTCCTCTGATGTAACATGTAACAGAAAAGGAAAAAAATTAATAATACAGATCAGTGCAGGAAAACTTATGGCAAAATGAACCAACACATCCCTTTTGTTTTATTCCCAGTAGTATTTTCTTTGCTGAAATACCATGTAGTGTACAGTGTACTTGCATGTGGAGGCTATCAGAGATTGTACATTCACATAAATCTAAGAAAATTAATCCCTACAAAACCAGCCATGATGTTAAATGTCATTTCAATAAACAAATAACAATAAACAATGTACCAGTGCATGTAGGCAGGATTATTACTGTTTCCCTTTCTTTCCGTCGCTTATATTTGATAATTGCCTCCCCCTTATCTTCTTTATCCTCCAGCATGCTGTGCATGGGATCAGGGACTTCATGCTTTAGCTCTTCTTCCAGCAACTTAAGTTCTGCCCTTGGGGTGGTTGTAAGGGTTTTGTAGATTTCTGCAACATAATCTGTTCAAAAGACGATCTATTTTAGTAGTTTTGTAGTATTAAATGAGGATAGTTTGGCATTATGTTCATTATATTCATGCATTGATGTATTTAGAGATTGATAGCATACCATAGTTTGATGCCACTTTGGCTTCCCTTACCGTCGCTTCTCCCTCTTTAAATTTTAGGTATTTGACATGTAGAATAGGCTTTCCCTCGTCATCAACTTTGGTCGCCCTCTTTACATTGTAATTAAAATGTAGTGCGGCCATTATTGTTCTAATAAAGTAGAGAAGAAATGCACATCATAAGCACATCACAAATTATGATAAGAACAGAAAATATTTTTATAACTGCAAACTACCATTTTGAGGATGCTAGGATACAACGTCTCCACTTAAATTTGTTTCACAAGTGCAAAGAATGTCATGAAGAGACCAGCTCTTGACTGTTCTGGACTGTTACACAGTCTCCGTCTTTTGGCCTTGTTCAGGTTAAAAAAATCAAAAATTATTATTTATAGATTCAACTTACAATGTACCATTTTTCACTAACAAGACCTGGAATCTTATTGTTCAGCTTGTGATGCTTTTATTTAAGATTATTATAGTTAACAACTGCTTAAGAATTTCAAACATGGTACTACTAACCTACACAGCATTCCTAGGTAGGAATAAGCATACATTTTCGGGGCAAATTGATTCACCACAGAATGGTAGCCCTCTAGGCAGCNAAAACACTGACATACAGTTTACCAGAGAAGTCGAAGAAAATGGCAAACTTCCTTTTCTAGACTGCCTGGTAAGCCACAACGACAACTCATTACGAACGACAGTTTACAGGAAACCGACACACACCGACAGATTACTAGACGAGTCATCCTACAACCCTACATCACACAAAGCCACAACTATCAGAACTCTAACACGACGCGCACAACTAGTATGTGACTCGACAGACAGCTTATCCGACGAGAACAAATACCTTCACCGTGTTTTTACGAAGAACAACTACAACAACGACTTCATCCGACGAAACACTCACCGACCCACTACCACTACCGAAACAAACGACACCGCAACCCCTACGACTACAGCAACCATACCGTACATAAAAGGCATGTCTGAAAACATCTCGCGCATCTTACTACCCTTCAATATCCGCGTCGCCCACAAACCCATCACCACACTACGTCAGTTACTAACCAACGTTAAAGACAAAGACGAACCGAGGAACAGACAGGGAACGATTTATAAGATCAATTGTTCCGACTGCCAAGCCTCCTACATCGGTGAGACTGGCAGAAACCTCACAACAAGACTGACTGAACACAGACGGGCGACGAGGAAAGGTGATGTCAGCAATCACATTGCTGAACACCATCGACTTACCAACCACAACATTGACTGGGACTCTGCGCAATGCCTAACCTACAGCACTGACTATTTTCAACGACTGACTCTGGAAAGCTGGTTTACTAACTTAGAACAGACTCCCCTAAACAGATGTCAACAACTACCCGCCCCATACAAACGACTCATTCACGACATAAACATCACAAACGACCGAAAAAGAACAACCTAGCTTTACCGACAGACCGAAACAGACCAATCACGAACGACTTACGTCACTTGAGTCTTACAGCCAATAACATCACGGCAAAACCAACCGATCATTTCACACGAACTGGAATAAGAACATTCTACTGACAACAATCACTCACTTGACTCTGATGATGACTTCCGCACAGGTTGTCGAAACGTCAGTCACTGCCACCGACAACAGTCCTTCTCAGGACTACACTCACCCGGACGATCAGACTACACCTTCACTACTGGGAGTGTCAGTTATAAGAAGGAAAACGTAAAGCCATTAGTTTAAAGAGAGTCTTTGTAGAAAAGTTAATAGAGAGTTGTACCAGAAACGAGAAGAGCAATTTAGCTCTTTAGCATATGACCAACTGCCCTGGATACCATATGTTTTGTCACTGGTGCATTAATTTTTCTCAAATGTGTCCAGTCGTAGTAAAGAGCAAAGAATGTTTACTTCAAGTCATATTTGCAATCGATATTAAAAGCTTATTCTAGATTTATCCTGAAGCCATTAAGTATCGCAACGTTAAAATATAGTCATATCGTTTTACCTAGTAACTTTTTCTTTAACTTTAGGGAGGGGGGGAATGGCTTTTTCCGACAATTCCTGAGACTTATCGTTAATCACACTATCCTGTTTAAGATGCATCAGCTCTTTCGGAGTCGATCCATTACGCTAGAAAAACCGAAGAGAGCTACGTAAAGAGGTGCATGATTGCGTTACAAAGTGGATTCGCGGTGCGACAAAAAACTGAAGAGTAATAAAAATGGTCTTTCTAGATAACTTGCATCTGTGCGCACGAGATATCTCAGTCCGGCGCGGTATAAATGAATAAATAAACTACGTAAATTGAAGCTCCCCCTTAGGGGCTTTTCAGCCACAATGTAAACTAAGTGCTTAAAAATCCCCACTGGCAGGAGGCAGACCAGTGGGCCATTTAAGGAGCGTAGCCGAGGACTTGAACTAGGAGCAACCGAGAACAAATCCAGTGAGTGGTATGGTGGAGGATTCGAACCCAGGATACCGGATTACAAGTCCAGCACCCTAACCACTTGGCCACGCCGCCTCCTTCAGTATAATTTATAATTATTTGCTTTGAGACGAGAAGAAAGTCACATTGAGCTCTATCCAAAGAGGAGTGACTTAAAAAAGCTGTAATTCGTTCGCAATGCGGTTTCAACAGCAACATGAACTATCACAATGAAACCATAGACCAAATTGTATCCTTTCGTAGGTTTATATCGCGATCAACTGATTGAAAAAAGTTTTAGCGAGTTTTCAGCTGTATAGATGCACTGTAAACATATTCAAATTAGACCGAAGCGATAGGCGTTTTGATTGCATGACCAAGATTGCATGACCAAGATTGCATGACCAAGATTGCATGACCAAGATTGCATGACCAAGATTGCATGACCAAGAATAAACAGAAGGTTAGTTTCCATCACCCAGACATTTTTTTTTTTTTGAAGCTTTCTAAACGGCCCCGATTATCTTGACCTATAGAAGGAGAACGTATTGACTTTTCCCTGCACTGCACCCAGACATTTTTGGAAGCTTTCGAAACGGCCCCTGACCAATTAAAGGAGAACATAAAGTTCCTCTACTGATCTATTGGCCAATTTCCCAAAATCATGAATTTTGTCCTATTTTTGTCTCTTAGAGGTCAGTGATATCTGTTACAGGGGGCTAGGAACAGGCCTTGAGTCGATATTATGTTTCAGTATTACGTGCGAAAGTACCAACAATCTTTCTGTAACTCGAAAAACACACTGCATTGCTACCTAGCTGCTTAAGATGAATAGATCGCCTTGTGGAAGAGAAAATTTTTATTTCAAAATGGAATCAGCCCAAAAGGATACCGAAGCAGGAGTATACAATGATGTTGCTTGCGCGATAGCAACAAAGCCAAAGAGCTGTGATAAGGTCCAGTTGGGTGGACATAAGAGGCACACAGGAACTACAGAGAGTTCGATTCAAGCTCTAAATTATGCCCTGCATTCACAAGCTGCTGTGGCGCGCCGTCTTCTGTGCATTTCGGTCACTGTTGTTACCGTTGCTTTTTTGACAGCGGCTGCCACTTTGGCATTTGCTTTATTCTTGATGATGTATAGGACAAACGATGTGGCCGTGTCGTCTAAAAATGACGAACCTATGAAAGGTAAGCAGACTACCGGGAGAATTGCATATTCAGCGCATTTTACTTCGCTATAGCTTACTGCATGACAATTAAGTTGTTCGCATGGTGAGCAAGCCAATTTATGCGAAAGAAGAGAATAATAGGGCTTCCTCCTCTTCACAATGGTTATCATTGCAGATTAAAAAAAAAACCTCTATCCCTGGAAATATTGATTTAATGGAGACTGATTTGACTCTGAGAGAAAATGATGATTCAAACAATGGATATTATGAAGGTTTTCATATTTCAGAAGGTGTATAAAAAAAAAAAAAAGAAGTTGCAATGGATATTTAGTTCATATTCGTGGAAAAGCTTTGAAACATGAGCGAGATCTGACTTTCACTTATATAAAGCGCAACTAACAATTCGATGTAAGGAATATCGGCCCAGGCATGTCATACAAATGAAACGCGAGACTGGTACAAAAAGCTTCTTGAGCCAACCAAACAATTCAAAGGTAGACCCTACAAAATACATCAAAACGATGATTATTGACTCCGTGGGAGTCATTTCATCAACTGTTATGAGGGAAAAAACAAACCCCTAATCATTAACGAGTCGAACATTTCAAAAGAAGACTATGGAATCCTGGAAAGAAATGACTGTTCAAATATATACTGACCATAAGCTGTTCAGGGAAATTAAGAGGCCGCGAGACTTAATACGGGTAGGGTGACCCAAGGTGGAATTTTATTTCTCGACACGTGACACGCAATTTTCTGGACGCATGGTACACGTGAACTTGGTTACGCGGATTCCGCCTTACGAGTAACAAAAATCGCAGTGGTGAGTCGGCCAGTATCTGGTTAGAGCCAATGTTAAAGTTTATTGTGGGAAAATAGAGGGAGAAAGATGGCAAATTTTGGACTAAAGTTATTATTAAAAATGGACTAAAGTTATTATGTTCATCACGAACGTGCTG